AAATTTATTATGGTTTATAATGGCAAATGATACTTTGAATATTACATGTTAATAACTTGATTGGAATTATAACCTTGAGTTGACAGTTTGATACTTTGAAAATTTTGAGCCAGCCCTACCCCCAAGGGCTGTAGGGTGGGGCTCAAGGGAGTCAGTGTGCTAAAATTTCTTCATTTTCCTTGTTTAGAATCAGAGGTGCTAGTTTCAAATCCTTTTTAGTCTGAAATATGTATGCTTGATATTGAATAAGGTGGTTTTATTGTTTTTTGTCACTTTGAATAATATTTCTGTTCATGTTAAAAACGAAATCAACTCTCTGTATAAATATATCAGGTGACCGTTAAGGCCCATGGGCCTCTTGTTCGTATATACAGCAACCTCCCGTTCATTGTTTTGGATGCAACAGTAGCAAAATTGTACCAGGCAGGGTACTTTTGTTGACCAGGTACCTTAATTGGTTGGAGCGATATTACAATGATTTGAGTTCTAGAGACTGGACAAATTCGGCTACCGTGCATAGTTACAGTTTTTGATTGTGATATGGAAACCCTTACTAGATCGATTGTTAATTTTCCTGATTGGCTTGCTTGTTTTTCACATAATTGGACATTGGTGCTCATAGAATCAAATGTGTACATTGAAGTTTTGTACCAGTATTTATATTCATTGGTTAAAAGCGGGTACTTGTTTCCTAAAACCAATACATATAATGATGTACTTTGTTAATACAGTAAACGGAAACGGATTTATAACTCATTTTAAGTTATTTCAACTTGTTTCCGGATCCCATTCCTCTGTACTGTATATTATGTGGTGTCATGCAATTTAATGTGGAATGAAATAAAGTTTCTATTCATACAGTAATATGTGTCCTCAGTTACCTATGGGCATTGGCTTGTTAGCTACTGTTTATATATAGAATAAAGGTTTTCTATCGCTGCAGTGATTACCACTAATTCCCTTTGGTGTTTTTTTGTTTATTGCTTGTTTTGTTACATGTATTTTTAAAGTAAATTTATTGTATTAACGGTAATCTTTGTCGACCTTTTATTCATCCCCACCAGACACAAGATGGCTTGCAATATGATTGTTTTAATCCGTTCTCCTACATATATTCTCAATATGTTTGTTTATCCAAATAAGCAATAAAATGTTGTAAAGTTTCGAAAGTTTTTTCTTATTCAGTTTTCACGAAGTTTAACACAACCTTGCACAGATCTGCACAATAAAAATGTGAAATGTGATGCCGTGCTTCTCTGATTAAAGTGAATGAGCTAAACTTAGCAGAGTTGCTAACGGTGTCAACATTATTATAAATACAAAGTTAGACAATTACATTTTTTTTTTAGCAAATTGATGCAGTTAACATAAGAAAGTAAATTATTTACAGTATCATATCGACAATTCGTCCATTGAGGACTCCTTAGTGGAACAAAGGAATTACATAATCCAATTTCGTGGTGGAAACACAGTAAAAGGTGCCTATGTATCATTTTTTAATGTTTGCAAGTTTACCTCTTTTTGCCTACAACGGATACCTTTCGAAAACTACTGATGCCGACTTGATAGTGCTATCTCACTTAAATACCATGTCGAAGGCACCGAGCACTGCATTCCGCCCGGTCACATTATACTGACAACGGTAAGGACTTTGGTATGTCCCGGCCTGGGGGCAGAACCATTTGCCTTCAGAATCAGATTCAGATTGTTTTATTCGTTGTGTAAGACACATCGGAGAGTAGACATACAAATAGTACAGTATATTACAAATTTACAATGATACACTTCCATTAAGGTCAAAAGTGAGGTGTTGCCAAACAAAGCGCTAGGAAATGAAAGGTAGTTAGAAGTAGAAATAAAGATAAAGATTCCAAATATTGCAATGGGTGCAGCAGACTTATTTTGGTCGCTTTTGTGTCCCCTTATAGAGGACACCAAAGTAAATTCCCAATTCTGTAGGGGGTTCTCACATTAGTCGCTTCCTGCATACATGCAGTGGCTAACATCAGGTGTATTCTTTTCCCGATCCCCCACCTGCAGCAGGATGTGGACTGAGATCTACGTTTTTCATGAAAACGTGGCTTATAGAAACACCTGTTACCCAAATACCATTTCCATAGAGCTCATGCCGTGCGAAACATGGAATTAATCTTTCACAGTTAAAATGAAAAAAAAGAGAGCGAAGAATCTTGTAAATAACATCTACTTATACAGCTATGGAAAATACCTTTGGTGCATTTAAATGAAAAAAAAGTGTGTTGAAAACCAGGGACAGTATATTATACGTCCCTGTGAAAACATATAATTTACAAAATATTGATATTTAAAGCACATTTCGATAGGAACTATAATATCAAGATAAAGATTCATTTGTTGCATTCAAAAATCTGTCCTCCATGTATTTTTCACATGTATTTATTTAAATAGGAGTGCATTTGTTAGGGCATTTGATCTCATCTGTTGCGTATGAAAGCTTTAGATAGATAAATTATTAACAAATATTACTTAAAAGAATATGCAGCTCTGGATTAGAAAAAAAAAAATGTTGTTTTCCTGAAAATGAAAAAAAATCTACTATATGCCAAATTTCTCTTAGATATTATAAGACAGTTACAGTTAATCAAAATCAACTCAATTAACTTCGATAAAATGATTTTGAAGGGCCATATTTTCTTGGAACCTGATTGTGCCTGTTATACCACTGGGTATAGTACGGCTTTCAGCAAACTGTATGATATCAGAATTTGGTACATTTATCTTTGTTGAAATCTATATCATCTACAGCCACTCGCTATGACAATATATTAACCTAAATATGTAATTATAAGTTAACAACAGCGACTTAATTTCTACTCAAATAATTAGCAAAATATCTACAAAAGAATTAGCTGGTATAGTATTGCACTCATTGTCTGTAGCTCCGGATTCATTAGGGATATGCTATTAGTGAGCGTATTTCATCTTGGATCTACACTCAGTATCTGAGATTGTGTCAAGAAGTTAAGAACTTTACGAATAAAAAACAAATCAATCGCGAGAAAAGCATTATTTGATTTTTCAGAGCTATAGTCATGCCGGAAAAAAAGGTTTTTAATACATTGTTGCAGTTTTTGGCGGTGGTACGGGGATCCTTAATCACGGATTAGACATCTATCGTTACTTTCACAACACGGAGTTTAATTACTATACTTTAACACATTTTGCATTCGCCCAAGGCCATTACGCCAGCAATAGAGTACTTCAGATATATACACATGGAATGTGGGATTGTCCACCTACACATGTAGCCCTGACCCTTAAGATTGACCGCTCACCAATTATCCCAGGACTATACGAGAGTTTATGTCACCAATGGGGCATGACATATACAAAATGTACTAGTAACATGCCGCGGGAGCTATAGGTAGCTAAAGGACTCGGTCTGTCCGGGACATATCTATACTATTTCACCTGAAGTAACCATGGTATGAAAAATCAATTCTGGATGGCGAAATTCAGAGATGTAGGTCACTGTTACCTTTGCTTGGACCTTTTTCACTAACCTTTGAAATAAAAATGTCCGAGCATATTTCATATATTTCACAATCTATGCCTTGACCTTTGACCTGACCCTTGAACATTTTTGTTTCTTGGGATTATGTCTCCTATACTTATTCACCAGAATTAACCAAATTTTATATATCATATATGTTATGATGGTGGCTTGAAATGTAATATATAATATACATTGAACTCTGATCTAAGACACGGAAATAGTTTGTCAATTTTCTTTTGTCTGTACGATTACCATATTTTGTATGCAGGTATAACATGATATGTCAAAATTTCTCGTTTCAAAAGCAAGTCACTGTGATCTTAATTTTGACCCCTGACCGCAATCTTTGGAATAAATCCCTATTCTGTATCATGATACTTTCTTTACATTTTTGATTTTAGATAGATAAATTACCATAGGGACCAGACTACTTTAACGCGAATAGAGTACTTGTACACAATCAGCATATCACACATTTAGAGTTAGCAGTGACAGGTACTGACGTTTCCCTTGCGTTCCGGGATTGAAATCATCTGAAACGAAATCAATCATTTCACTGTGAGCAGGAGGGTGTACAATAGAGGCAAGAAAGCTCTTACACCTCTCACTAGCTATAAACTTCTTCTCAAATATCAGGCGCATGTAAGGAATATGAAAATTTCCTTTTTTGGAGGCTAATTCAATATTTGACCACTACAACTTGAATATCTCATATACTTTAAAAGTCATCTTATAAACTAGTTGAGATACTATATTCCAGGAAGTGTTCGCAGCTGTTAAACTTTCGCCCTTTTTGTCCTCTATAATGAGGGCGAATTTATTATGACAGCAAATACTAGTACAAAATTAACACTAGGCCAACATGGATTTTATTGGCAAAGGGTAAATATTCAACTGGGCGAAAGTTTCCCAGTATACAATATAATATATATTTCATTATAAAAACAATTTAGATTATATTAGATGATTGTATTCATTTAAATATGTTCAATGTCTACAAACCCACCTTTGGTTATAAATGCTAAGTTGGCTTGCCGTTTACTGTAAGGCGATAGAAGTCTTCTCCCCACACAGAAAAACAACCCACCATTTTCAAATGTAGATGACGTCAATCGTATACCTTGTTTACTAATATATTATGGGGGAAAAGTAACGCTCTTAATTATTCACAACTTTAAAATACAATTTAAAAATTAAACCAGAGTACCAACATAATGAACCGGAGACCAGAGATATCATAACGTCAATAGGAAATAATAGCTCACATTTTATGTTCAGTTGAAGAGATGCAGAGTAAAATGATAAGCTATGTGTAAATCGAACTACAGAAAAACGTATCGATTATTTTGTTGCTGAATGGTGGTATGGTATTGGATTGCCTCCAATGTAAACAGATAGTTAGTCAAATGTTTTTGCATACACGTGAAATTAGGGTTACCAGTATTTGTTTTTTAGATAGGCAATTAAATAAATTAATCAATAACATCACTAAACTTTAAGAAAAGAATTAAGCAATGCATTTATACATGCTACAATCATTATAAATTATTTCTTTTACATAAATTCAGTCACAACATTACAATACGAAGATTTATCACTGCATGTTTATAAGTCAAATCCAGCAATAAATTGCTTATACATTACATATACTAATCACACAATACAACTACTATACAGTACTATATCAAGAATAATAAATATTTGTACACTTAAACTACATTAAAAATTTAAATGTTTCCAATACAATGCAGTTAAATCTGCTCTACAGTCCAACAGTAAAGTACCAATCAAACTTTCTACTTCAACGCCATCCATGCATTAACTACGGAATGTGGCCTACCATTCCTGATCCAGTAACTATTAAAGCATCATCATAATTGTTGAGTATTTGAGTTTAGCCTTGTGTTATGCAATGTATCTCAAACTTATACAATAGATACATGCAATAATCTTATTTCAAGCATTAGCTGCTGTTTGAGTCCTAGTTTGTTCAGCCCAGCGGCCTCCTTATCAATGTCAAGTTTTTGAGTTTAGCTCTGTTTCTCCAAAAGTGCAGGACCAATTGACCAATTGAAATTGAATTATGAATACTATTCTATTTGGTTACTTGCTGTGGACGCTGCATATTCGTTTTTAGGTTTAGCTTCTTCCCCCCCCCCCCCTAAAAAACTATAAGTTCTATACCAACTATACATGGCAGATAGATCCTCATTCAGATGCTTGATTTGAATTATTATTCTAAATATATCTTGATTGTAGAAAAATAGTTGAAATTTTCCAGTATTTATAATTTATATTTTGATATATTCAAACGTTTGAGAATTAAATAAACATTTTCTAATTATTTTTTTTTAAAATAAACATCAGTAAAGTTAAGTCATCACGAATTTTTGGTTTCTGTTTTTTGCTCTGATTCCAAACTATTTGTTGTTGATTGTCAAAGCAGGGTCAATCAAGACAAAAAAACCTTTGGAATTCTTGTTATTCTTGTTTTTTAATTATAAACTGTTAAACACTACGCTTTTATGTCACATATATACAAATTTTACTTGGTATTTAAGGCTGTAGTCTTATCATTAAATGATACAACAATAAAGATAAGTTTTGTAATATTGCTAAAATGACCACTTTATATTCATATTTTAATAATATGTTTCAATACAAAATTTATATTACAAATTAACATAAGACATTTGATCAAATGTTATATTAGCATCACAATCACTACAAAATGAATACCAAATATTATCAATTTTGAATTTTCCATCAAAAATGAAAATATCTTGTGATATCTTATAAAACAGGACCAGCTTTCAGCTACAAAACCTTAAAAGAACAGTTCACCACAGGTGAAAACACAGGAGAAATATATATATATATAGATATAGTACTTCGTTGTGATAATGTATCGCTAATCTGCTGTTTACACCTGCTAATTACTTTCTCCAGTCTAAACCACAATACTGACAATGTGAAGTACCTCGTACGCGTTTGGTGGCCGCATTGATTCTCTTTGGAATTAAAATACACCTAACACTAAGTGGTAGCGAAAACATGGGCTTCATTAAGTTTACCTGAAGGGCATGAGTTTTCGAAATTCATTTTGAAAAAGAAACCACTAGCAAGGCAAGCCATTTATACAAGATACTAAAACTTTCGTATGCGAATATCATGAATTAAATACATTTTAGACAAAAGTTTCGGAAGAATAAGCATGTTTATCCAAGAAAAGTAAACAAACGGAATTGTATGGCGAATTTGTTTTCTCAGGAATCGGCTATTTTCTAAAGGTCTAATGATTAAATGGCAAATCACGTCGTATGGGCTTGATAACACATACTATTGTCCAATAAAGAATAAAATATCCGTCAATTCGAACGTCCATTGTTATGTTTAAATAGTGTCTTCTACACAAAGGCAATTCCTGTTTATCACGAGTCTTCACGTTTGTAAATGTGTAAGATATAACTATCCGCGTAGGAGCCAGTTGATGAAATGATGGATTATAAATTGATTAGTGGTACTTCCTTAATCAGAAATTGAACATACACAATATTTTCACATCTCTTATTGTGAATTTAATACTTTAAATCTTTCTTATTTGCGAGCGATCATAATTCATTTATGCTTTTATTTCATTAAAATAGAAAATTGATATTCCGGATAACTGTCAGACAGCAGTAATTCGAATTTTATAAAGAATCTCATTTCGACTCATTTTACCATGCTGTTGTGGTTTTTGTGTTCAAATAGCATCTGTTTATTCTTAACATCTAGATAGAGTGCACTCGAAACGCCTTGTTATCTTGTGCCAATATGAAATCGACCAAGATGATCCGAATCACGGTTCCTCCCAGAAAGAAGTGAATCAATCGATATAGTGTTTAAATTAAATAATGTGTACAATTCTAAACTCCCTCCATATTAGCCTTAATGTATATTTGGTTCATGCAAATAACATTAGTCATGAAATGGCACATGATATAACAATCATCGGGTTAAGGTTTTCGATTCTACTAAATGCTATAAAAGCTAAAAAAAAAAATCTGTTATCGGTTGACATGTTATCATACATTAGATTGAGTATGCATAGTAAATAATGTTTCACAGTAAAGTTTAAAGGACTTTAAATATCGATTTCAATGAAATGAAATATTTCTCTACGATATGCCTTTTATAACCTTAAATAGAAAGATACATACATATATATATTTATTTATAAAAAAATGTAAAATTGTAAAGAAATATTTTTTTAACAGCAACAATATTTTCGGCAATCGTTTAAAGTCGGTTAATAACATCACAGATGAATATCTTGAAGATAGCGAAATTGCAGAGCAACTTATAATTATCAGGCTTTATTCAGCTTAACTAGTGTTATTACACTGTTGTCGTATTTGATCTTTCCCATGTCATATATTTTTTGTTTTAGCTGACATTATTTTAAGAAATACTGTGTTATTAAGTTGGCAAAACTTCATACACTCGAGTCCGGTATCACGGACAGTGAGGATCGAAACAAGACAACATATTATATTATAGTCAATACATTTTTAAAAGGATTGAGTTTTCCACCTAATTTGTAAATTTAAAGTGTATTACATTATTTGTTGTTCCATATTCATAAACATACGCACATGATGTTATTGAAACACTTAGATACCTGTTTATTCTTTTCATTTAAGATTTGAATTCAGGAATGAAAGAGTCTTGAAAATATATGTTAAAAATAAATATAATGGTATAAATGATATATATATATATTGCAGTTTGTGATCAATTGAATACGACCTCCTAACCATATACCGGTATTATCACACGCACACGCACAACTAGACATGTGTACTATGAAATCAGTCTGCATTTCCACTTCTTGGATACAAGCATCAGCGACTAGTTTTTGATGGACGAATAAGCTATATAGTACAGTGAATGATCCAGTATTATTGTTTTCTGGTTAATTTTACTACACAACTTTAAAGTGGGATCACATGTTTTTTTAACGTTCATCTAACTAACAATTCGAGACTGCATGTACAGTACCGCTTTAGATGCTGTATTTGGCAAATATAAGATATAATTCTGTTATAACATTTCCTGTTATGAGGGCGAAAACATACCGAATAACATTTGGAAAGCGTCTTATGCTTTACATGAATTTGTTTTCTTAAGGTATGGAGTACCATTGCCTCATTTATGAATGCGAAAAAGAGTGCCGATCAAATTTGTTTAGACTAAGAGTATTCTCCCTTCTATATAAAAGATGAAGCAGCCACAAGAAGTTTTTCTGACTCAAGAGTTACCTCCCCTGTCAACTTATTCATATGTTTTGAATTAGAAATTCATATTAATGCTGCGCTTGTATAATTCCTGTATAGCAACATTGGTAAAGTGTGGTCTTCGCAATGTAAAGGTCACGACTTAACCTGTTCAGTGCATTTTTTTTACTTACTGGTACCAATCACCTTAACAGTATTACAAACAAATATGTTTAAAAATGTTGTTAAGATAAAAGAACACAAACATGTGATTGTACCTATACAAAAATGGTAGCTGACGCATTTCATATAGTTATTTCGTCCGTCGAAGACGCATTTTCGATGCTTGGAACGTCCTGAAATGACCAAAGCTGTTGATAGGACGTTAAACAATACTTAACCAAACAAAACAAAACCAATCGATGCTTGGAGCAAACACAGATGTCATAAAACACAAATTATTCTGTTTACTACTAACGCGGGAGTCACAGAATTTAGTGCTGATAATGCTGGACTTTTTCCATAGTCAGGAAACTATAAAAAAAATACCTTTGACTCCCAAATTTTGCACGGTCTTTATGATACTGATACCAACACTTAGAGGGAATAGAGGTGTTTCAAATGACAGAAATGGAAGTAGATGGATATGTGCTTAGAAACAAGAAGCTAATATATGAAATAAAATAAACCAATGTAAAAGTGAAAGGAACATGGATCATCAAACTTATATTTTATAAAAACAAGAGATATTCATAAATAACAAATGAGTCATCGATGAGACTTTGTTAATACTACCAGGAAAATGAATTTTGGTTGCCGTTAACAGAAATATAGGCATTAATAAGTCAGACGGTAATTATTAGAAAATTAATAAAAAATAATAACAATGATCACATTAAAAAATACACGTTCCGTGATAAGCGGTTGTATTGACTAAATCGCGTCATTCGATAAATCTACCCAATCAAGTATGGTGCTTACATGGTCTCGCAGTGTCTGAAGTTCCTCTTTCAGGTATGAACAAAACACGGCCTTCTCAACATCATTGTTTACTATAGACAAGTGGCACTCCCACGCCTGCCGCAGCATGTGGGATGTCTTGTAGTAGTGGGAGGCAATAAGAGTCTTAAACTTCTCTGTATTAGAATACGTAACGTAGACATCTATCAGATCTGTATGTGAGGGTGTGATCCCTAGTCTACTTGCTAAAATACCAACGTACACATCTTCCATAACAATGGGTTTAGTGTACGGGATAATCATGTACATTTCGACTACAGTTCTCATTGACATGATAATACATCCCCCGAATATGTAATCCGGGTAGGTACTAAAAGCGTACTCTTTTTCAGATATAATCCATTTTTCGATGTATGCGTTAGAGGTTTCTTTCCGAACTGGCATTGTATCCTTGTACACGTATCCCATATAGAGCCTTTCAGCCTCTGTCTTTGGTACGTCCTGTAGGTGTTGTATCAGGAGATCTGTGGCCATATAAATATCGTCATCAATTGACACAACGAAGTCGGCCATACTGCAATGTGCTACCGCCCAATTGATGTCACTTGTTGTCTTGAGTGTCAGGTTGTAGTAAGAGTCAATATAGTCCATCAAGAGAACGTCTTTGTACTTCATCGACTCCGTCTTTAATTTCTTCATGGTGTTTGATGATTTTGGAACTCCAACAGAAAAAACGGTTCTAATATTCGGAAATCTCACTGGATCAGCCCATGTTTTACGTATGGTTCTTCGTTTAACGAAATTATCTGGTTTTGTTTTAACGATGAAAAGCAAAAACACTTTTGATTGTACCCCAGGTTCACCACATACATTGCTAGGGTTGATTATAGGATGAAAGGCCCACTTATTGATAGCATGGTCTGGAAGATCGCCAGTCTGAGCGAAATCATTCAGCAGTTTCGGAATATCCAGTTTCTGTGGATAAAGTTTAGGGTCAAAGCCAGGAAGGTGTTTACTATCCTCTACATCCGCAAATAACTTTTGTTCTAAATCAGTGTCTATATCTTTGTCATCGAGCTTTGCCAATAAGCGTGACAATGAATCAATGAGATGTTGTTTCTCTTTTTCTTCCTCATTTTCTTGGCGGTATCCCATGTTGGAATCATGACTTTTCTCCTTTATTGCACCTTCTTTACCGAAATTATCCTGTGGTTCTTCTTCAGAATGTTCCTGTATTGTGTCTTTGTTCTCAGTACTATGTGGAATGACATCCATTTCTTTCACGTGATTTTCGAGACCGAGCTTGTTATCCATTCGTTTCTTTTCCTTGTGTTGCAACGTTTTCAAATTATTCTTAAAGAGAAGCTTATTTTTATCAGTATCTTCTACCTGTTTGTTGACAGGTTGTCCCCTACCAGCGTTTCCTTCGTTGTTATCCTTACTTTCGGCACCGATGTGTCCAGTTTTTTTAGTTTCCTTAAGGTTCCTGTAATGTACTTTCCCCGTGTCTTTATGTTGGTCGATACGGATGCTGTCTCTGAATTCCACTGATGGGCTGTCTAAACTGTCACCCTGTGTGATCTCTCTCCACTGACGAATAACGTCTATTTGTTCCTTGTTCGTTTTTAAATTTGTTTGAAAAATACCAAATGTTATTACACTTGCAAAACTTAGAGCAATGATTATACAAATGTATATGTACCGTCTTGAAAGTAGCTTTCTTCGCATAAAGGCTGGGGTATATTTTGTGAGTTCCATGACCGCATCCAGGGGTCCCGCCATTGTACGGTGTACACCATCCGTCCACTAGCTGGTTGAAAGTGACAGGTAAATAGCGCTAGGGTAGACAGACAGTATATACTAAATTTAGAACGTCACGGTCTGCCTACCACACATGTACATTTAATCTTCAAAATCAATTCAATAGATAACCAATTCGACTGTTGATATATTGTCTACACACCCTGAAAACCACACTCGAAATCAGTGACCATATCATGGTGGCAACTGTACTTTAATACTGGTCACAGAAATGACAAAGCCGAATGTCCGAAGGGATCTCCTCAACTGCTCCTTATTTAATTAATTTAATTTCACATTCATCAATGATTATTTATGTGGAGTCTCAGCGATTGCACAAAGAGGAACACTTTCCCCAAATTAATTATTTTAAGACCTCGTATATACTATTGTCAGGTGAACATTTTGAAATAGTAGCTTGAAGCTTTACACGATCAGTTGTACTGTAATTGTAAATCAAGAAATTGTTTAAGGGTTTTGCTCTGTCCAATACACGTCAAGCTTCACCAATCTTAAATTCTGTGTCCAGTTCACTTTATGTAAACAGGAAAACTCAGCCATGTGTAAACGTGTGTATAACGCGTAGTAAAAGGTAAAACATGGTAAAACGACATTTAGAGTCTTAATATATATACCATTAGAACTATTTTGACTTAATATGAGGTATGCAAAAGGGTATTTTATCAGCTATTCTATAAACCAATGTTTGAGTCTTATATTATCTGAAATCAAAAAATATTTTGATTATGAAATTTTTATTTTTATTTTTGTTAGTTATGTCTTAATTGGTCCGCCGGACTAAATATATGAAGCGTAAGCGATTACATATGCCGCCTTATCAGTTGTTACGTCTGAAACTCAAGATTTATATAATTCCATTATAGTTACCCTATGAACAGTAACATCCCCTTGATGTAGTTTAAAAATGTGCTACACCGTCGACCAAGGGCCTGTTCGTGTATGCGGAACTACCGGTTTGACCGTTTACAAATGTAAGAATTTCGGGTATAAATCCAGGCGGACCTGCACATGTTCATGCAGGCCTTGCAAAGCTTTGTCAATGCTCTCCTGAAAGCAGCATCAGATTACTAGGTCCGACCTTATTTAACAAACGAACAACTGTGGTCCGACCGGTTTGACCGACTAAACGAAAACGGTACCCAGGTAGCTAAATAAGTTGAGCAGTAGCATATTGATGGGAAGTCAAGGGTTCGAATCCGGGTCTGGTTTCATTAATTGTTTACACTGTTGTAGATTCGTTTTTGTCTATTTCATCTTTCTCGTGCCTTAAACGTTCTACAAGGTACGGTTTTCTGTTCAGAAATTATTTATCAAGACTAAAGTAAACATGACAAAAAATCATATGCAAGGTTTCAGTTTTGACAGTTGTACGGGGAATCTTAATTTTGTTATTCATGTAGTATATGGTTATTTCTAGATGGAAACCGATCAAGCGTCTATACGTCCAGTCGGCCGTATCACCGGTACATTTAACACAGTTATGATAAAAACTGATAAATATATAGTAAAAGTCGTTTGTTATTGTTAATGTGCCAAAATCGTTTTAAGGAGTTGTGAGATAATGTTTGTATTCGTATAAAGTTTGTGTATAGAGGCACACTGACGTGATTGTTAAGCGTAGTTAGCATTTAACATTTCATTGGCTATGAGAGAACGCACGGCCACTTATTGTATTTCACTGACATCAAATATATATATGACGTCACAATATAGCGTCAACAGATACTTGATGTCGGGTGCAAATCAGTGACAGCGAAGGAAAGGAGATCTAGGAGGTATGACTTATTTAAACATTTATTTTAAAATAAATGAATCAACACCAATAAATAGAAAGACAGTCTTCAAAGAATCTAGTGTTTAATTTTCATTTCATTTCCAGATATAAGTAAATTTCAGATATGTTAGTTTAACCATGTCATTGCAGTAGATAATACCTTACGTAAGACAATGAAGTGTTGACTATATGTAGTAGCCTAGCTTGCCTTGATCTCCCCTACGTGTACAGCAGAAACGAAAGGACATGTTTCTTCTTTAAATGGTTCGTCCTATTATCACATATACGAGCAAGAAAGCTAGGTCACACATGAACTATTGCCCAAGGAGTCACGAAAACTCAACAGAGCATACAGGGGACATCATGATTTAAAACTAGCATGACACGGCCCCGGGTGTTTGTTTACTGTATTCAGTAAGCTAAACCCCCAGTGTGGTGACTTAAGTCAAAATTGAACACATTTATGTAATTGTACGACATTGAGTGAAGTTCAAGGTCAGGTAAGTATGTTTTACATGAATTACCCAGTTTTTTGTAATTTGTAAATATTTGTTTTCGGATTATTGTTGTCATTTCGAGGGATATGAATGCGTAGCTCTCTTAAATAGTCACAGCGGCACTTAACTGATCTCAAGAATCTCATGTAGTTAAACGCCATCGCTATACACTATTTATAATGTTTTCGTGATTTTTAACCGGGCAATTTTCGCTTGATAACATAGTTATTTGTTGACCCGAGGATTGGGTGCTTTCCTATAGGCCAAAAGCCGAGGGGAATATCATTTTACGAGGGCAATCAAACACCCAGGTTACAATTGTTTTTTTTTTTATGTGACAAATAGTAAATTATTAAATTGTCGTTTTTAGTATAATTTGAATCTTGTCAATTAAAATACTCGCTAAACTACCGATCGTTGAAGTTTATTCCTGTTGATAATTGTCAGTGTGTTACTGTTTTCAGGTGTTAATGATTATTGACATATTCGCGCTCTGATTGGTCAAATATCATTCGCCGCGGGATTTCCTCTTTAACCGGGTTGTACTCATGATTTCTCACGTGGATGTTCGGAGTTAAAAGTTAACATTGCATTTTGTGTTAAATGTCCCTATGTAGTTTCAACCAATCGCAGGGAAGCAAATACGAAGTCATATAACAAAATGTATAAATTCTGTTTCATTCCCTCTTGGAATACAGAAAACCTGTTGAAATATTCTTTCATCAGATTCAATTACGTTTTAGTCCATCAAAGATTGATCAAGCGGAAGTTCCCATTCTCTATTTTTTTTCAAAAAAGAGGTGAGATATTTTAGAAAATGAAATAAAAGAAATTCTATTGAAAATTATAGTTTTAGACTGATATACCAAATCTCAGAGCGGTTTATACGATGTTAAGGAGTTTTATCTTGACTTACTGTAAACAAGTAGTAAGAAAATCAACATTTCATTTGATGTATTCTTCTGCTAAGAAACAGTACAACAAATATCCACGTCCATCTTTTACCGCCGTTTGTATCGGTTTTACAGGTCTGTGCAATGATTTGCAATATCTCAAATAACATTTCCTGGTTTCCCTCTAGATGATAAATTCCTGTTCGAGGACGTCAACCCCCAAAGAATTTACGTATTAATTTACTGACATAATCCATCCAACATAATTTTTGAGTTTGGAATGTTGGACTAAACGGTAAACTAGTGGAGGAACGCCGGGCTCGTGACCGAAGGGCTGCGGACTCGAGTCACTTTACAGTACTGTGTTGTATCTTTGAACAAGATAATTTACTCTGCTTGTTAGCTCACCTGCCCGAAGGGCTAGTGAGCTTATGCCATCGTGCGGCGTCTGTTGTCAGTCCGACCGTCGTCCGTCAACTTTTTCTTTGAACGACTTCTTTGAAGAATAGACACGCCCAGAGTCATGATATTTGGGTGATAGCTTTCTTGGTTTTGAGAACGAAAATGACCTTGACCTACTTTCAAGGTCACATGGGTCTAAAGTGTCAAAAAAATTAAAACGAGTTTATCTGAAGAACTGAAAGGTATAGATTCTTAGTATGTGGCTGGTAGCTTCGTTGGTAAAAGCCCAACAAAATCTGGGAACGAAAATGACCTTGACATATTTTCAAGGTCACAGGTGTCAAAAGTGTCAAATACTTCAAACAATTTCTTTTGAAGAACTGAAAGGTATTTAATCTGAATATGTGGTTGGTAGCTTCGTTGGTAAGAGCCCAACAAAGTTTGCGAACGAAAATAACCTTGATCTTCTTTCAAGGTCACAGGGGTCAAAAGTGTTTAATACTTAAAACGACTTCTTCTCAATAATTGAAATGCATAGACTCATACTATTTTTGCTGGTGGCTTCTTGGGATTAAGCTCGTCAATGTTTGCGAATGAAATTGACCTCAACCTACTTTCAAGGTCTCAGGGGCCAAATATGTCAATCACTTTAATTTTTTCTTCTTCTGAATAATCTAAAGGCATAGAATTATAATATTAGGCTGGTAACTGTCACAGATAGAGCCCGACAAAGTCGGCTATTGAAAATTACCTCAACCTACTTTCATGGTCACAGGGGTCAAATATAGCAAAAAGTGCAAACAGCTTAAAGTGAAAGGCATGGAGTTGTGATATAAGTAGCTTCCTTAGATGAAGCCAAATAAAGTTTGCGAATGAAAATAACCTTTACCTACTTTATGCTATTGCTTTATCTTAATCTTATTTGATATAGAGTATCCTTGGCCCAACATGATTCAATGTTGTAGAAACCATGCCCCCATCCCAATGGGGACAGGAGAATGGTACCCAATAAGGTAAGGGTGTTGCTGAGAGAAAGCCAATATTTAGAAATATTTAAATTAAAGTATAATATTTAATTAATATTTTGCTATGATTGCTTAAATATCCAGGTGAGCGATACAGGCCCTCTGTGCCTCTTGTTCTAGTCTTCTCAGCTTTAAATGAGTATGTGGTCGGGCAGTGCTGAAATTGTTGAATGTGCTCCCAAAGAAGCTGAGAAAGATATTGGCTGGTTGCACAGACCCTATAGTCACGGATAATAATTTGTGAACCGCATTGAGACGACCTACGAACTAGGTTGCGAAAAAGCGGTATATAACAGCCTCGAATCTATTATTATTTAACATACTTTAGTATGAACATGACGAACTTGTGTAATGAATGTATCGAACATTTTGGACATTTTCCCCATTTGGTCTACAGAACCACTGACGAGTTTTAATTGGACACAACGGCCAAGTGGTACAATGATTTATTTTAAGTAAAGCTGTGTAATATCAGTCTGTGATTCGGAATGTTTTGCTCATTTTTGATTGGTTGACAAAACAATTTCTATAAAAATCATAAGCATGGATTTAGATACGATACGAACTATCACCGTATTTTTTGTACATACTTCTCAAAATGACAACAGTGTCAAATATTTCTCCGACATGCCATTCGATATTCGAGAAGGCGGCGTAATATATACATGAGACTTGGACGGGTACGTTTAGTCTCGTTCAACCAGACTCTTGTTGCCTGCACAAGCTACGCCGAACAGAGAGTCTGGTCAAACCCAATCGGGAACCTTCGGCACTTTCCGTAAACGAGAAATAGAATTTTCTCGTTTACGGAAAGTGCCGAAGGTTCCCGATTGGTCAAACCCAGTGCTTTCGTTTTGTGACATCATAACGAGGCTTACCAGGATTCTGATAAATGATTTCATTGGTCAAAGGTTGAAGTCTGAAGTTGAGTGGCGCAAAATTACATTGAATATTTTAATTCATGAACAAATTACCTGTACATGCATTCCTGAAGTATCCATGCTTTTCACTATTAACGAGAAAAATGTAAGAAAATGCTTCAAAAAGAATTATTTCATATATTTTCATTGGATATTTTACAATAATTCATGAAGCTAACAAGGCTTTTGATACAAGTCAGGCCAGATTACCTGAGTGAGAACTTGTAGGTGTTTTGAATAGTGTACAGGTAATATCTCACTTGCTTTGCATGCTTTTTCCAACTTCAGTCAGCCTTGTTGACTTGGTGCTCAGTTATGATTTATTCAGTGGAAATATATGGCATTATCCTGGAGATTTAACACATTTTCTTAAATTGTTCTCGATAATAGTGAATACACGGGTACTTCAGAAATGCATGCATAGGTAAGTTTTTTTCATTAATTTAATTTTTCATTGAAATGTTTAATGTCGTTGACATTACGTCCTGAAACGAAAGTAAAAACACTGCCCTCTGGTGATGGTAATTTTAAAGTATGGTGTTTGACCAGACTCTTGAATTACAAGTAATCTAGCGTCTCAGGGTACTGTGTGATAAAACGCAATAGGGAGTTACCTCCCGTTAGCCGTCCACTGCAGACAAAACACCAGATAATTAAATTTTTTCGTATATATACAGTAACCTCCCCATAATTTCGTTTTGAATCTAACTGTAGCTCATTTGAGTCATCACATTTTCGTTGACCAGATAACCAATTTCATTAGGGCGAGAGTATAGCAATATGAGGTCCTAGGTTCGAGTCCAGCCCCGCTATAAAAAAATTGTTGAGTATATATCTTTTCTTGCGATGAAAGGACGATACATATTAATGTTTCTATTTTACAAAGAAGGGGAAACCTGGGCAAGTTGTGCAACATTTTATTTATGTTTATAAAAAATATTATGTAGTGTTGATTGTTTTTTTTTCTTTTTCTTTTCCATGAGTGTAGATTCTTTCATTATGCTGATAAAAATGTACAAATTATTCGTTCTCTATAGAATGTAATCAGTCCTTTTCCCGCAACTAGTGACGATTGTTCATCAAATATATCTAACTCGAAGTTTCAGTTCTGAAGTTGATAAAAGTCAAAACCAGAACGGAAACGTTCACTTTCTGAAGATCTCTGCTCTGCCGTCTTTGCGGTTTAAATATGACGTCTACCAATTATTTCCACTCTAAAAGATGACGTCATATTTAAAGTTCATGTGCTCAAATTACCTTGTCATGAGTCAAAGCCAATGATATTGTTTACTACGCATAACTCATCTGTGTTATACATACAAAGGATTTGTTATGGTTAAAAATATGTTATTGTTCTTGACCATCCTAGTTTAGATCGACCTCTGTTTTACACTCAAAGAACACCCTTTACGGGCCTTGAATTACCAGATCTATTTATGTCTTACACCAGTGGCAATCGTTATTGGTACGACGATCGTTTAACATGTGAAATTACAAATACAATGAGGCAAGAACAAGGTTCGAATCATGGACCTCCAATCAGTATGCTGTCGCTCTAGGCAAATGACCAACCATGTAAATGGTAGTATCGTGGCCAAGTCGTGCACATGTTAACATTGTATCCGACGTATACTTAAGGGGAGATGATATATGTACGAAGAACCGCAGTGTAACACTCTGGTGCTTTGCCTGCAGTGGTGTATGGACCATTAACACGTCGAGATCAAATATATCTTAAAACGTAAAATGTCATTTTTTGTCATCTTTACCCGCAGGTACAATTTACAACAAATTACAACCATACCTTACTTCTACTCCTTTTAACGATTTGGGTTCAAACTGTATCTACTTTAGGTTTGTATCACAACTCCCGTATTAATGGCGACACGGTTGAGTGGACCGTAGCAAAAACATATACTTGACTGGTCTCCATCGAATCTAATTGCATATTTATATATTTGAGTGCTTGCGTATAATAGACACTTTTTCACTCGACACTGACACGGCTTTGCGATGGTAGTTGTTTGCATTGCCCATTGCCTACCAACGCTCGACCCTGCATTTCCGTACACATCTCTTACCGTAACGTCTGCTATTAGGGTTAAGGTCCATGTAAGACTTCAAATTGATACATGACAATCATATATAATCAAACTACATACAATAATAAGCACATCTATCGACCAATCTCTCTGATAAAGAAAGGCGTAACAGCATGTACTCGTGTTCATTGCAGATACTAACAAACCAATGATTTCCTAAAACAAAAACAATTGCGGAGGTCGTTTATAAAAAAAAGACCGCTAAACTTGATTTTGCTTATGTTTTTAACATTCATTACCGATCCATTTCTCTAAGTCTTCCAAAGTAGGTTTTCTTCTCTGGCATGCCAATTCAGGCATCATCCAGAATTCATAGAAGGTAAATCCATGAATGTTTTTTGGAAAAAATATACAGGGAAATTGGTGTCATAATTATGAACAAATAAACGTAATGTGAAGTTGGTTTTGCTATGCTTCAAACATATTACCAAAGTGAAAAATAGACACAAAAAAATATGCGAAAAAAAGGTTTTCCAATGACCCCCATTAAAAACTAAAACAGGTATTTTTTTCAAAATGGTTATTAATTAGATTTAACCATCAAATATATTGAGGCTTAAATCTTGTGCACTATTAAATGCCAATACAAATGGACAAATGCGGATAGAGAGAGACGGCGGACAGATACACATAGAAAGGAAGAGTCCGACTGACAGACAGACAGAAAGAGAAACGAAGAAGGAGGGAGAAAACGAAAGAACGATGGAGAAATAATATAATATGGGAACAAAATATGTAACAAAACATCAACGTAAAGGAGAATGACAATAATACATTTTAATGAAGTTAATGCAGAGTGTGTACTGGTAGAGGAGAGCTTTGTCGGTAGGGATTGGCCATTACTTCACAGATTTCTCCTGACTATTTTGATAAATATTTTATGAAATTAGCACAAGTTACAAGGTTACCTAACATCACATGCACAGAACACAGTGAGTGTGAAGGAAGTGCTGTGTTCAGATAGACAGAGTAAATGTAAAGAAATGTACGGTAAGTGAAAGAGAACGAGAATTAACGTGTACGAATAAGAGCTAAAATCACCATTGAGTAAAAAACACCCAGGTCGACGATAAAACGTAAATGTGTGGTAGGCAGACCATGTCGGTCTTAATTACGTATGTACTGACTGTCTACCCTATTAACATATCACCTCAAACGCTGATGGATGGAAAGTGTACACAGTAAACAGTGGGACGATGGAACTGAAAAAACATACCATAGACTTCATGCGAAGTAAACGACTTTCAAACCGGCACATATACATGTATCTAACCATCGTTCTAAGTTATGCAAGTGTTGTAACATTTTGTATTTTTCAAACAAATCTGAAAACGAACAGGGAACAAGTAGACGTTATCCGGCAGTGGAGAGAGATCCCACAGAATGACAGTGTTGACAACACATCAGTGGATTTCAGTCATAATAACATCGACCTACACAGAGATACGGGGAGAGTACATCACATGAACCTAAACGAAACCAACAGCATTGGACAAATCATTGCCGAAAGTAAGGATAAAATCAAAGAGAACGCTGATAGGAGACAATTTGGTCACAAAAAGGTAAAAGATCCCCGTGAAAATAAACTTTGGTTGAAGAATGTTTTGAAAATGTTGTATGACAAGAAAAAGAAACGATTAGATAACAATCTCGGTCTCGAAAATTACATGAATGAAATGGATGTCATCCCAGGTGGTATTGAGAACCAAGACAAAATACAGGAACATTCTGAAGAAGAACCACAGGATAATTTCGGTAAAGAAGGTGCTATAAAGGAGGCAAGTCATGATTCCAACATGGGATACCGCCAAGAAAACGAGGAAGAAAAAGAGAAACAACATCTCATTGATTCATTGTCACGCTTATTGGCAAAGCTCGATGACAAAGGTATAGACACTGATTTAGCACAACAGTTATTTGCAGATACCGATGTTGGGAACAGTAAACACCTTCCTGGCTTTGACCCTACACTTTATCCACAGAAACTGGATATTCCGAAACTGCTGAATGATTTCGCTCAGAATGGTGATCTTCCAGAACATGCTATCAATAAGTGGGACTTTCATCCTATAATCAACCCTAGCAATGTATGTGATGAACCTGAGGTACAATCAAAAGTGTTTTTGCTCTTCGTAGTTAAAACAAAACCAGATAATTTCGTTAAAAGAATATACATACGTAAAACGTGGGCTGATCCAGTAAGATTTCCGAATATTAGAACCGTTTTTTCTGTTGGAGTTCCACAATCATCATACATCATGAAACAATTGGAGATGGAATCGATGAAGTACAAAGACGTTCTCTTGATGGACTATATGGACTCGTACTACAACCTGACACTCAAGACAACAAGTAACATCAATTGGGCGGCGGCACATTGCAGCGTGGCCGACTTTGTTGTGTCAATTGATGACGATATTTATATGGCCACAGATCTCCTGATACAACACCTACAGGACATACCAAAGACAGATGATGAAAGACTCTATCTGGGATACGTGTACAATGATACAATGCCGGTTCGGAAAGAAACGGCAAACATATACATTAAGAAATGGATTATATCTGAAAATGAGTACTCTTTTAGTACCTATCCGAACTACGCACTCGGGGGTTGTATAATCATGTCCATGAAAACTGTTGTGCAAATGCGCACAATAATTCCGTACACGAAAACCTTTGCAATGGAAGATGTGTACATTGGTATTTTAGCCAGTAGACTTGGGATCATTCCAAAACATACGGACTTGATTGATATATCCAAAAAGCATTTAAATTCAGTCGAGTTTCAGACTATTATTGCCTCCCACTTCTACAAGACATCCGAAATGCTGCGACAGGCATGGGAATGCCACTTGTCTTTAAACAATGATGTTGAGAAGGCCGTGTTTTGTTAATACCTGAAGAAGGAACTTGAGACACTGCGAGACAAGGTAGACAACTGTCAAATAAAGCTGTTTAGACAATACAATCATATATTTGGACAAATGTATTCTAAATCAGATTATTGTTATAATTTCAAATTTCCGTCTGTTTTAACTTCTTTTTCAAATTGATAAACCTTGATGTGATGCTGAATCCATATAGCCAGCTTAATGTAGCATCTATCACTCTGTTCATTGCAATTGTTATGCATGTTCCTGGTAGTTAGTTATCGGTGGCCCATGTTTATATGTCTCTTGTTTTTATGAAATAGAAGCTCTTTTTATTTCATTACATATTTAAACTGCCTATATGCGTCTAATTTTGTCACCTGAAACACACCTCAGTTCCCATTTAAAATTAGTCCTTGATGGGGGGTATAGTAACACCCGCCATTTCCTGGAAAAAAAGACAACTGTGAAGCACTGATCTGTGTATTAGTGACACTTTTAATAGGTGATAAACATACACTATTTTACGAAATCGCTGGCTCTCTGTCTTCATAGACATTTGTTTTGTTACATGTTATATCGAAGCCTTAAAGCCACCTTTGATACTCCTTTTACTCTGCACTAATATAAATAATTTCTTTATCTTTTAATGTTAACAAATGTTGCAGTTTTAAATATGTTTCACGTAACTGTAAGGGTAAAATAAAAATGTTATTATGAAGTGTCTCATTTGACAAATATAACATCTAAAGTGGAATTCGACGTTCAGTCCGAAATCATTTAATTTCATATTGACCAGGTTTAATTGTACACACATTTATATCACACATTTGGTGAAGAGGTCACTTCTCATTGATCCCAAACTGCAGTATTAATATCATTTATACCATTGAATTTAAGTTTTACATATATTTGATAAACTATTTACTCCTGAATTTGAAAGATTAAAAGATATCTCTAGGTCTATTAATAGCGTCTCATGTAGTCTGTATCAATACATATCAATTTAGCATGTATGTACTCTATGTTTATAAATATTGAACAATAAAGAATGAAGTTTAACTTTTATATATACAACAAACTCAATCCTAATGTGTTATCATGTCGATCTTTACAGTCTCTGATATCAAGTGTTGCTAACATATTTTACACAATAACATATTTTATAATAACATGAAATAAAAACAAAATGTCCGTGGCATACATTCTGACAACTTACCTCCAATTTATTGTTACTAATACGTATTTTACTACACTTTTTCTTGTCTTGGAAACTGGAATAAAGTTTATTTGACACTGTGTCTTTTCTTGCAGCAAAGTCAATTAATATAGATATACCTTTATAAAATATGATTATTATAAGTTACTTTCATCACATTGACGTCATCTTCAATATATTCAGTGTGATTACGTAAACAACTGTAACGTAAACGTTTACAAAAAATGTAACAGTTAAAACATAATTATTTACGAATATTTAGTTACCTGTGTATTGTTTTATAAATAAAAGCATATCATATGGACCAAAATAACATTTCACTGAAATTGATAACCGAAGTCCCGTAATAATTATCTACATTTTATTGGGAAGCGTGTTTAATGTCAATATTATTTGCAATGCTTACTCACTCTGATGTATGATAACATATCAATCAATATTTGAAACTAACATTTTCAGAGCTTTCAAATTCTTATAAATAAATTGGGAAACATGGCCCGAGGATTGCTTTTTCTAATGTAATGACATAACCGATAATTGTTCATGGATATACAGTGTGCTAATGCTGATGGAAAGCAAAGGATGGGTGCCAATTCTGGTCGCTATCACTGATAAGTTTCACTTTTTTTGTATATACATACCTTGGGGTTAAACCATCATGATATGTCATGAACTTGAGATGAGCTTGGAGACAATACCTTGACATGTGGGGGTAAAGTGGGGGACCAAAATCCCAAAGGGTATCTTTTGGACAAAACTACATGTTATTTTATGAAACTTTTGATGGATTGTGTAACACTTAAGCTGCAAATGATACAAAATGGCCGATAAAAAGTAGCATAATTGTTGATAAGTAGGTCACTATGACCTTGTTATGTATCAGCTTACGTACAATGTGTGTCAATGATACTTTAATTTTATTTATAAGTATCTTAACCAAATCTCAAGAAATGGGTGTCTAACAGAGCGGGGAGTTGGTTACTTTCTTCATATGTTTTGTCACGCTTTTATTCATATGTAATTATTATGATTTTGGTACAAAAGCAACATTTTTGTTTATCTTTCATTTAAACATGCATCCGATTTTCAAATATATATGACAAGAAAAAAAACCAAGTTTATATAAATATTTCCTTTGAGATATATCTGAAAGTCAGATGCATGTCTAAATAAAAAACAGTTCAGTTGTTATGTGGCTTTTGTGTTAAAAACATAAGTTATATAAATAAAAGTGTTAAAAAGGTGGGATAAATAAAATAACTCATCGCCCGCCTGATCCCCTTACACACTCTTTTCGATCTCCCTTTCTTGAGATTTGGTTAAGATACTTATATGTCCAGTTTTAGTCCGATAATTATAGGGTTCTTATATGTATAAAATGTATTTAGACCCAAAATTGAGAGTATCATTGCCATAATTAAGCCGATATATAGCAAGATCACAGAGACCTACTTATCAACTAGCAAGGTCACAGAGACCTACTATCAACCAGCAAGGTCACAGAAACCTACTTATCAACTAGCAAGGTCACAGAGACCTACTTATCAACTAGCAAGGTCACAGATACCTACTTATCAACAATGTGCTACTTTTTTCAGCCATTTTATTGTTTGCAGCTTTAGTGTTACAAAATACATAAAATTATAAAGAAGTTTTCATAACATAAAATTTTAACAGCAAGAGACCATTTGTGATTTAGGTCCCCCACTTTATTTACTCATATCTCGGAATGATCTCCAAGCTGACCTTAATTTCATGTCATATTATTATGGCATAAGACCAAGGTATGCATTTACAAAAAAATGAACCTTATCGGTGATACCGACCAACGGGTCCAAATAGGCACACCCCTCCTTTAGTTTAGAAATAAAACAAAATGTTATTTGAACCTTATTAGAAGATTCACTACCGTATGCAGAGATTGTTATTCGGATCACCTCAAGTATATTAGAAAATATACTTGCACCATTGACGTCATCCACATTTTAAAACAGTGGGTTATAAACAAAGTCAAACTGTATTGAACAGTTAGACTATAATTATGGTGTCTTGCTCTATGGTACTTCTTCCCCTCACGCCGAGATAATCGATTTTGTTTAGTTGATTTTCATCCCGGAACGAAAGGGAAAAGTGCGTACCTGTCACTACCAATAGGCAATACTTCATGTGTGATACACTGATAGTGTTGTTTAAATATCTCTTTCAATGTTAAAGTGGTAGTCCCTATGGCAATTTACATATCTAGTCGTTTCTAGTAAGTTTCATCAAAAGTCCGTGTTAAAAAATATATTTTAATGTTTGATGAACCCTGTGGACATCCGGTTATTGTGCACATGAAAAGAAAAATGCTGTTAAGCAGACTGACAGACTGCAGTTTTTCGTACGACAGACAGACAGACACAGCTTTAAGTATTATGTACAAAACTCAAGGCAATCGGAGTGGAAAGCGTGCCACGGTTTGTATCGTTTTTGTAAATATCCATGAAGTTTTTTCCAAAACCACATACAGTTTCAGGTGGTGTTGCCCAAGGCAGCTTTGTATTTGAACGACACGGAATTACTTACAGTATGCAGACGACAGCGCTCTTTTGTTCTTTAGTAAAGATCCACACGAAATTATAATAAAACTATCGCGACAATCAGCTAGCTGTAACATTTCGCTGGTTAAAAGCAAATAATCTGTACACCCTGGAAACAGAATTTCCATTATTCGGTACCAGAGAAAAAAGTAAAGAAAGTTGGTAAATTTGAAATATATGTAGGTGGCAAAAAAATATAGTCATCATATCGTGTATGTAATCTTGGCGTTAATATTGATCAATTTTTAACCGGAGACTTTATTGTGGAGAACATTGTAAAGAAAGCGAATGAATTCTCGTCTTCGTTTTTATATCGGCAATGTTGATATGTACCTTTGACTATCAGAAAGACGTTATGCAATTATCTTGCGCTTCATGTGATTAGTATTTTATATTACAACATGTAACATATTCGTATTATATGTTTCATGCTAAGGAACACAGTGGAAGTAAGTCTACGACTTGTCTGTGTTATCTTGGTAAAACACGTATTGTAGTGTTCATGTACTGAACTTTTATGTATTGATGCAACGTTTTACCAAACAAATCTATCCATCTATCTGTTAAGTTTGCTAGACATTCCAATTGTCTTAACGACAGAAATTTAGAATTGTACAAGCTACAACTATTGCGTTCAATGATACTGATGCTGGCAGCCAATTATTCAAGCTACTGAAGTATGGGATACAAACCAAATACATGCATGCACACTATAAGGATTGATAGGGAGATGGACGTACAAGACACACAGGTGACTGTACCTTTAAATGTCGATAATAAATACAGTAGGCCAAAAATGGACTTCGCTGTATCACAGCTGTTTTGTTCTTTCCCGTCTCATCGCTGATGCTAAGGGCCAAAAGTTCGAAATTCGAATTGTCTAAACTTTCATTGAAACGGAGGGGACGGGTTCGTATTTTTTTTTATTTATCATTATCTAATAGAGAAGTACTGGTCAACTTCAATTAAAATAATCTGTAAAGTGTGTACATTATGAACCATGCCACTACTACAAAAAGATAATCGTTAGAAGTTACCTATGTGATAAAAGTAACAGACAATTCCGACAAGTTATAGAAGCAGGGATCCTGAGCCCGCATTACAATATCAAAATTGTGTATATCATGTCCCTCTGTTGACAGAAACCCTTCGGACAGTCCTAGGATAGTTGATGAGCGCTCGGTTGTAACGGTGAAAGGTTAGATGAACATGTTCACATTTGATGTGTAAAAATCTGAAAGACATCAACCATGTAAGTAGTTTCCCTCGCAAATCCATTTATGTTTCCCTCATGCTTACTTACTGGGGTGTGTTCTTGGGCTAATGCACACTGCGTTAATGTATAATCAGTGAGCTCCCAAGTAATCCCACGCCTCATACCGAGAAGTGGGCAGTGACAATAAATCTATAAGGCTTACTTATGAGCATAATACAAATCACCGACTTTTAAACATACCACACAAAGAAATCAAAAATATCCATACGAAATCATCATGGGGGCCATAAATCTTTCCCAAAAAGTCTCAATCTACCCTGTGTGATCAGTTTTTTTTGTCACCAGTCAATAAATATCACGAAGGTCGTGAAATTCGAAGCAATCTCTTAGATTTCGAATCAACTGCGACATGTAAATCTTGATGATACTCCCAAGAAAAGGAAAGTTCAAAATTGTTCAGTTGTTCCGTTTATCGTACAGCTTAGTTGAAATCCGGTTTTTTTGGTCAATTCTTAACGAATAAGGTTTTCGATAGGAATGCAAGATGCTAGCCTCCCTATTGAAGGGGTGTAATACAAAAAGGCGAAGGGACTAAATTTTCCAAGTGTCAACACTTTCTGTTTTGCATATATATAACGTTATTTTTTTTAATTTTCTGTGTTGAATTCTTATAAGTATTATTTGATCTCTAGCTGCCACAAAACGGTTACGGTTTCACGTATTTATACAGCATTTCACTCTTTATTTGAAGATATTGAAACTAATTTGAGTTACTTCCCTTTGACTTGGTAAGCTCTGTTGTGCGTACTTTCATACAACACAATCAGGGGGCTGTTGTTTACATGGTGTGGTCAGAGGTCATATAACGGTACATGTAGGCTAGTACTGGTAGCATCACTAGACACCTGCTTTTATTGAATCATAACAGCATTTTGAGTTGGTGCTGTTTTCTAGAGGGACTGCAACACAAATGTAAATATCTGAAAATAAAGCATCGGTCAAACACCCCGAAATTGGTAGTGGTAAGTTTTATAGCCCGAGAACTTTGCCAGAACGGTGGACGGCTAAACATTGAACACGGTCCTAAAATTGACATTTCCAGGTATACAATGAAGGTAAAGAAAGTATAATGTTACCGTCAAACACCTCACATTCTCAATAACATAGAGTGTCTGTCGTAGATTATTTTTCTGAAGTAGTTAAACCAATCTTTTCCTTTCACAGTACTTGGACAATGTAACCCTATTGTGCCTATCATGTATAGGTTCTCAGATTACACGTGTGGACATTTCGTTAATTATACTTGTCGTTTCGATACTCCGCTTTAGAGCACAGTTCGTTTCAACTATAGAAGCTATTCCTAATTTGACCTATGGCCACTTTTAAATTAGTTATAGAACGTTTATGTCCTCAAACATATAGTTTTATTGAAATATTATTTGTTAACGCAACATGCCATATTTGTGTTTGTGATTATCGATTAATTTTTGGTATGGAGAGCGGTCATATCATACTTCACGTTAATAAACGAGGGACTTACACAGTGGGAAATATCATGTCAGATTCATATAGATGTAAGACGTGGATAAACAAATCTTTGTCTTGTCCTGCTGCCAACCGAAGTACGTGTAATTCATTGTGCGGAGTCAGATACCGTGTCCGAGAGATTGAACTTTATTGTGAGTGCATTGTGACACTTACTTGTGTATGATCTGAAGCAGACAGTAAATATTTATAATGTTAAGAATGTACTTTTTTGAGGTTTAAATCACGTTCAAATCTCATTTTTGTCTCATGTAACACGTTTATATAAAAATTAATAAATTATGATCAACACGCATCTGAAAAATATGACAAAAAACCAGATGCCTGTTATTTCCAGAACTTTTTTTATAAGAGTTTCTAAAAATGACCAAAATAAAATAAGGATAAAAAAATCACCTAAAATCACATGTTATTTTAAATTGGCATCTTTGCTCGATCATAACACAAAAAGGAACACACGAACATATAATTTTGTTTTTGCATTTTTCTACTATGCCATTAACGTTTTTATAAAAATGTATATTCATAACAAAAAGGTTAAAACGTTTTTTTTTTTTAAAAGGGCACTGGCATATGTGGTCATGACACAGGGGAATGACCTAAGTATAGATGTTAAAAGAAAGTGCGTGTGGGTGTGGGTGTGGATGACGGGTTCGGGAGGGGGGGGGGGTATTTTCTTAATCTTTGAATAGTTTAGCATCGACAGTAAGGACATTCTCCTTATTCCTGACCACATGTGTTTATGCAATACGAATACTTCCTAAAACGTATCCCATAGTTATATTAATTCGTCCACATCATTTATCAATTTCAGTATGCGGATATTTTTTAAACGTTTTAGGGGTTTAGATCAATTTCCGGTCAAATTGGGTGGTATTTTTTACCGTAAGTTGACCTTAACACCTTAAACGTGTTAAATTTCTTTGAACACCTTAGTTTGATAAATAATGGAATGACGTCACGTGAGGAGCATTCAGTGAGTCCAGTGGTCCGATATCTGGACAAATCGTGTACAAATATACAAGTCGTGATGTAAATAATACACCCACCATTGAACGCTTCTATGTTATGACGTCAAATGTCCTTTATCACTGTGGTCCGGTTATTTTGTATAGCCAAATGACTTAGGGGCATTGCCAAGACAAGGTTGGTTAAACATCACATTGGCCACGACTTAGTTTGTAACAGTCAAACTAACAAATACCTTGACACGACGTCTCAACATGTCTAAATATAAAGACGGAATTACAATTCCGTTCATACCTGGATTTAAAAAATAGGTTTCACTTACTTTACTACATAGGTATAGGTCTACATGTACTGAAGATTAAATTCGTAATACAGACGGGGTAGATAGAATTAGTCAGAATAGATCCGTCAGTATAGGACTCCCTGTAGACTAATAGAATCATTCATCCCCTTGGGGGTGAGATTAATAGAATCCATCCCTGATGAGAGGTATGGATAAGGTTATTCAAACCCAAGGGATAAAATATTGAGCAGGAGACCCGAGGCTTTGCCGAGGGTCTTTTGCTCAATATTTTATCCTGAGGGTTTTAATTAATAGAATCATTCACCCCCTTTGGGGTGAGATAGGGGAATCTCAATCCGAGGGGGAAGATTCTTATGTTGCCAAACACGAGGCTTTGCCACGAGGCTTTGCCGAGTGTTTGGCAACTTAAGAATCTTTCCCCGAGGGTTGAGATTCCCCTATCTTACCCACAAGGGGGTGAATGATTCCTTTTCTCTTACCCTGTTTTCCCCAATGTGTATCATATACACAATGTAATGATAACGTTACACGCTAAATTCAGGGTTGACGTGACGTTGATGGATTGTTGACGTGACGTCATTGTATTGTTGCAGTGACGTCATACCATTTTTATAAATAGGGGAATCCTCTCGTCTCAACCCTAGGGCGGAGACAGATAAATCTAGCACCGGCAAAACGGGAGATAAATCTGTCAGGTGTGAGAGAACACATTTTCTATCACCAATTACATCTAACTAATCACTATCCCCCAAGGTCATAACAGATATGACGTGAATAAAAACGATACTATGACGTCACGGGAACAATGAGATGTGACGTCATAATCAGTTCTTTTTACGGGCGACTTCTTATGTAAAAATAGGATGGGATGCTAAGAAAAACAAAACCATTTTTCACCTTGAGGATGTGACCACAATTCTTCAACCCTCGGGTGATTATTTCGCTGCCGAACCCCAGCAGAGCCTTGGACTATGGTTGAGGCAGGGGAATTCCCTTTTTCATAACAACTGTATGGCGTCGCGCCAACAGTGCATTGAAACTGTGACATCAACATTGCATCATTATATAACCTTGAAATACACAAAACAGTTTTGTTTGTTTATCTCAAATTGTACAGGGTTTTAATTATAAATTATCCATACCTTGTAGTACTCCTATAAGGGCCTTGGCTGAGGAAAAAATCTCCCTAAAATAACCATGTAATAAGAAAGAACTATATTTAAACGGCGTTTTACGCCTCGTTGGTAAAATCAACGCTTTTGCCAACTTTGTGATTGGTTTGCAAGTATTTTTTGAAGTATTTGATGGTTAGTGAAAGTCGAAATGCGATTTTTGCACATCTCCCGGTTGGTCAGTTTTTTTTACCTGAGACCAATCAAACAGCTTTCTTCGTGCCTTCAATGTTGCTATGACATATTCCAGGGGTGCAGAGAGCGAAAGTGAGCGTAACCCCTGGATATCGAGGATGCGGTTCAGGTTGCTACATGCCGTGCTCATATCTTGCTTAGAAACAACAGCTGTTCAGGTTTTTGAACACCTTTTGACACCTATCTTCTGCTGTCTGTAACGGCCGCCATCTTGAAATGACCAATCCTTAACGGATTTATGACAGTGAAACAGCGTTACAAAGTTTTAGAGACCTATATATTGTATAATGAGGGTCAAGGCCAGTGTTAATTTAAATACATCTTCGATATCCAGGGGTTACGCTCACTTTCGCTCTGCAGGCGTAACCCATGGATATCGAAGATGCTATAAATACAAACAGCTATCGTCACTCTACAGTTGAATCACTTGATTCAAATATAGTTTTGGCGTCCAAAGACAAAGGTCAAGGTTACTTGTGACGGGCAATTGCCGAGGTTAGTGGTATTGTGAATTGCACAAAGAGATTTAGATTAATAAGGATAAATGATATATCAATCTCATAAATATATTCTCCGTCACTTCAAAACCCCCATTGAAGTAATCTTAATGGATATATTATTCATTATAATTCAAGCTTGTGATTTATACAATGTCAATCGGCGTCAAGTTTCACAAAATTTATAATTCCTCTCAAGAATCACAAATAACCACATGACATCATCAAAAATGAAAAATAAGCTCAATCGTTATTTATAATATTAGCTTGGTTTGAAGAAAAAATTCAAAAAGGGAAAAAAAAGTGTTTCCTTTTAAACTTTATAGATCGCCTACATGTCTGACACTGACTTTATACCGATAATAAAGGCCCTACTTAGCGTACAGTTACATTAAAAACATTGCCAGATAGGGAAACATGTTTGATGGCATTACGATGAATGGCGACAACAGTATCGCCCTCTGAACAACTACTGCAAAATGTTCAGGGTATATGAAAAGAATTGGTGCCATTTTTATCTTCCATGTACTACTTTCCACACGAAAATACTATACGGATGTTTGTGTATTTTCAGTCAACTATCCACTTATGTCAATGTTTAACAACAATAATACGTCAATGGCTTTTTAACAAAACAGCGAACCAGGGCGGTTATCTTTACCTCGGGGTCAAACGCAACTTCTTTAAGTTTTTATACTAACAGTTATCCTCGATTTTCATACTGCATACATTATATGGAAATATGAAAGCGGAAACGGTTTTTAATTCATCCGATTTATGAAAGTTGATGGCTGGGCGCGTCCCTTTCATAAACATTTTCTTAATACACACAAAAATAAATAAAACACCTACACCGGTGTTTACATCTAAGTTTAGCCAGCCGTCCAATAGATTTATTCATGCTGTGTGAGTTCAACTGTTTGTGAAAGGGCCCAGTCACCATGACCATTTATACAGTACTAGTTGTAACGTGGCGATGTGTACACTTGACGTGCTATTAATAGTACACCCGAAAGTCTGATGTACATAAGTGCGCCGCTCGCCATCTAACATGGAGCTCCTCCGGTATATACCCGTCTCTGCCATGAGATGGTTTCTGTGGAGGCGAGCAACACTTCTTGTTTTATGTGTTCTGACTGTTGTTGTGTTGGGAATATTCCAGACTAATCTGAAAACCGACCGTGAAAAACTTAATCGTGAGATAAACATTCTGCATACTGCCAGACTAGACGAAGGAGCTCGTGCTGGAAGGGGCGTGGACGGGGTGTTACATGCCGATCTAAGGAGACTCCAAAGCCTTGTTTTAGTGGACGGTAAAAAGTCACGGATACACAGGAGTAGCTATTCCGATGATCGCCAGCCTTCCTCTGGGAACACAAACCAAACGTTGGAGGATGGGGATACCTTCCAAAACCGTTTACGTAAAGTTAATAACGAGGAACGTCTTATTAAGGAACCTTACGTTGACAAAATCGCTGACGAGAAAGAAAGAGGAAAATCACATTATCTCGATGACGACATTAACATAAACAAAACAAGTCACGAAAGGTATAATGCTGAGGAGAAAGAGAGCCAATTGTTGATGGATGAACTGTACAAACTTTTGTCAAAACTTGAAAAAGAAGGCATTGACAAAGTGGATTTGGAAAAGGAATTGATATCGGACGATGGTGAGAAAGAAGATGAGCAGAATCCGTTCGATCCGTTGCACTATCCTCAAAGAATAAACGTTGAAAAAATTGTGAAAACATTTGTCAAAAATGGCGACCTACCTAGCAACCCAATCAATGAGTGGAAGTACACACCGATTATCGACCCTTCGAGTAAATGTGAAAATAGTAAAAATGGTGTATTTTTGCTGTTCATTGTGAAGACGAAACCCGATAACTTCTTGAAAAGAAAGACCATACGTAAAACATGGGCCGACGAGAAAAGATTTCCGAACATACGTACCGTGTTTTCTATCGGAATACCTCGGGATTCTAGCACGATTAAAAAAATAAAACTAGAATCCTTGAAATACAAGGATGTCCTCTTGATGGATTATATGGACACGTACCATAATTTGACTCTCAAGACAACCAGTGGCATCAACTGGGCGGTGGCACGCTGTGCCGTGGCCGAGTTCGTAGTGTCTGTTGATGACGATATGTATGTGGCAACAGACTTCCTCTTACAACACCTGAAGGACATGCCACAGGCGGAGGCTGAACGACTGTATCATGGACATCTGTACCATGATACATCACCAGTCCGGCATGGGGAGAAGGACGAGTGGCATAGTAAATGGATTGTGACGAAGGAGGAGTACCCGTTTGATACCTACCCAGATTACATATTCGGGGGATTTATTATCATGTCTATGAGAACTGTACTGGAAATGAGTTTGGCCATTCCCTACACAAAACCGATCAACATGGAGGATGTTTACCTCGGTATAGTGGCCAGTCGACTTGGTATTGTGGCGACCAACACTGATCTTGTAGATTTTTATATCACGTACTCAAATACGGAGAAGTTTAAAACTCTCATCGCCTCTCATTACTATACAAGTACCCAAATGCTGAAGAAGGCGTGGGAGTGCCATTTATCCATAGTGGGAAACGACGTGGAGAAATCAGTATTTTGCAGTTACTTAAAGAAAGAGTTAGAACAGTTAAAAAAGAAAGTAAACGAAATATTGGATTGGATAGATTTGTCAAATAATGCCCTCTAGAGGTTAAGAATGGTCAACCTTTTGCCGAGACTTCCTTATTTATAAACGTTTACAGGAGAGAAATCTCTAGAGACACTGATTGAGTAGTTATCTAAATCTGTTTCGTGCCACTGGACGATATAGGAGAGAAAGTTTTCTAATGCCACTGATTAACATGTAGGAGTAAGCTTTCTAGTGACACTGGTCGACATGTGGGAGTAAGCTTTCTTGTGACACCTGTCGACGTGGAAGTAAGCTTTCTTGTGACACTGCTCGACCTGTGGAGTAAGCTTTCTAGTGACACTGATCGACTTGTGGAGTAAGCTTTCTAGTGACACTGATCGACCTGTGAAGTAAGTTTTCTTGTGAGACTGATCAACCTGTAGGGTAAGCTTTCTAGTAACAATGATCGATATGTAGGAGTGAGTAAGCTTTCTAGTGACACTGAAAGACGTATAGATGAGATATCTGTTGATGATCTTTATTTCAAGTGAGCTCTTGACGTGTGAAATGGAGCTAGCTAGTAACGCTGATTGAATATATATGAGTGAGCTTTCTACTAACAATGACAGGTTATATATGGGTTAGCTCTCTAGTAACACTGATTGGGTTTAAAGGAGTGAGCTCCCTAGTAACACTGATTGGATTATAGCAGTAAGCTCTCTAGTAACATTGATTGGATATGTAGGAATGAGCTCTCTAGTAACACTGATTCGATAGTTAGGAGACAGCTCTCTAATAACCCTGATTCGATATAATAACTGAGCTCTCTTGTAGCATTGCTCGGATATGAATAGGAGTGAGATATCAAGTAACACTGATTAAATGTATAGGAGTAACCTTTCGAGTGAAACAAATTGACATGTAAGAATGAGATCTAGTTCCTCTGATCGGTTTACTAGAAAACAGCACCCCAGATACACTGATGGACATTTAAGAGTTAGCTCTTTATGGCCTGATATTTTTATAGAAGAAAACTATCTGGTTACGGTGTTTGATATCTAGTTGTTCTCTAGTGACCATGATCGCCTACAGGAGAGAACTCTCTAGTGACAATAATCAGCGTGTAGGACACAGTTATCTAGTAACACAGAACCATGATAGACATGTGAGTTCTGGAGACACTGATAAACATGTAGAAGTGAGCTCTACAGACATATATAGACATGTAGAAATGAACTCTACAGACACAGATATACATGTAGAAGTGAGCTCTACAGACACCGATAGACATGTAGAGTGAGCTCTACAGACACAGATAAACATGTAGAAGTGAGCTCTACAGACACAGATAGACATGTAGAGGTGAGCTCTACAGACACAAATAGACATGTAGAAGTGAGCTCTACAGACACAAATAGACATGTAGAAGTGAACTCTACAGACACAGATAGACATGTAGAAGTGAGCTCAACAGACACATATAGACATGTAGAAGTGAACTCTACAGACACAGATAGACATGTAGAAGTTTGCTCTACAGACACTGATAGACATGTAGAAGTGAGTTATACAGACACAGATAGACATGTAGAAATGAGCTCTACAGACACTGATAGACATGTAGAAGTGAGCTCTACAGACACAGATAGAAATGTAGAAGTAAGCTCTACAGACACAGATAGATATGTAGAAGTGAGCTCTACAGACACAGATAGACATGTAGAAGTGAGCTCTACAGACACAGATAGACATGTAGAAGTGAGTTCTACAGACACAGATAGACATGTAGAAGTAAGCTCTACAGACACAAATAGACATGTAGAAGTGAGCTCTACAGACACAGATAAACATATAGAAGTGAGCTCTACAGACACAGATAGACATGTAGAGGTGAGCTCTACAGACACAGATAGACATGTAGAAGTAAGCTTCACATACACAGATAGACATGTAGAAGTGAACTCTACAGACACAGATAGACATGTAGAAGTAAGCTCTACAGACACAGATAGACATGTAGAAGTGAACTCTACAGACACAGAAAGACATGTAGAAGTGAACTCTACAGACATAGATAGACATGTAAAAGTGAACTCTACAGACACAGATAGACATGTAGAAGTGAGCTCTTGCCACACATTTCTTCAAGAACTACATTTCTACCACAATACGCTGTGTTATTCCACTCTCATATCATTGTATAAACATGCAGACTGTTGAATAAATATGAGTGATACACCACACATGGTATATGACCTTCCGTAGTTTTGATTGGTCGAGAAGATGAACTTTGACCGGACGAATTTTTTCTTGCGCTTTTTGCCGCGTTCTGTTTTGTTTACGTCGTCTGCTGTCAACATCCGGCAAATGTTGGTGACTTTTGTGAGGTAATGCGATGGGAAAAGAGGGTTATTAAAGCAAAACCAAAAGAAGATGATGCTTAAAGATTTGATCGCTAGTTTCAGGCAAAATTGCTACAGACGCTCGATATCGTTTCGACGCCATACCGTCGCGTGTCCAGGTCGTGAAACCCAGAGACGCAATATACCGATATATGTCTCTTAGTCCGAATTATTCTGACGTTTTATTGACTTTTTTCATATCGGTCTGTCGTCGATTAACGTCAGAACTCCGTCCCTCTATAATATGCGGGAAATATGCGACCCGTGCCCGGAGCGCACTTCAAACTGATATTTTAGAAACAACTCGTCACTTTCACACACATATCGCAAATGGATCGAAAGATCTATTCTTAATGCACTAGGTGGTATCAATAAGATGTTTCAAAGATCATTACGAAAAGCATTTTTCAACGTTTTCCTTTACCAACCCATGTTTTTTTATGGAAATTAGGCCATGAGAAATGTCACATGACTTGACGAGATCTCGCGTTACCGAAGGTATTTCCCAACGTTATGACGTAGGCCGGCGAGATTTTAGTCACGTGACATTGGAAGGCGGGGCTATCAAAAAACTAGAGTAAAACAGAGTAAGTTTGAAAAAATATGTTTTTAGTGATTGTATTACTTGTTTGAGGCATGTTATGTATGTTCATCTTGTGCATAAACAATAGATCTTTCGATCCATGTGCGACATGTGTGTGAAAGTGACGATTTGTTTCTAAAATATGAGTTTGAATTGCGCTCCGGGCGCGTGTCGCATATTTCCCGCATATTTTAGGGGGACGGAGTTCTGACGTTAATCGACGAACCTCACGAAGAAACGTCCCAGGCCTATGGTTTTGGACATTGACAGCGATTAGGTCGTCTTCATCACTTGGCGGGAGGCAGATTTCGTACGATATGCTTACGCGCATATAGTCCGTGGTTAATTTATATTAATTAATGCAATATTGCCTACTCTCAATACCTAAAGTCTTTCATCTATTTTATTTTTTCACGAAGTTGTTGTCGAAACATAATTTTGAAATTTTTGAAATTGTAAAATAAAAGTCATTTTTGATTATTAATGAGTGACTTTTTACATATGGGTCATATCACTACGCCAGCCTTTTCAACAAAATGTGTGAATGCTATTCAAATCAGTAAATGTGTTAGAAACAGATAAAACGACTTGTGGTTGTTGAGCATGGTGTTTATTTCACTCTCGTTAGTTAATTTTCTAAGGTTACAGAAAGACACTAGCTAAAGCTCGTGTCTTTTATTACTTTTGAAAACTCACTAACTCGAGTGAAATAAATACCATATTCAACAACCACTCGTTGTGTAACCTCTAAATCTCATATATATATGAATTCGAGTAGGAATTGCATCTATGTGTGATTTGAATAAGTCAGATAAATCTCTACTCGATACGAGTGTGAATGTAATACGTCCGAGTGAGGCATTTGTGTGTTGAATGCACAGGGACCTGATAATTTGTTACAGCTATATTTGGACATATAATAAGGTGTTCAGAGTAATTTGATATGTGTTAGGGATTTAGTTCGACTTTCGGTAAAAATGCCATCCTGTGGTCTTACCTCTGTGCACTCGAATACAAGAAAGATTGAAGCTACATTGCATGGACCGCAATTTAAATGAGATTTTATTATACAAAGCACAGATAGAATCTACGTGTATTCCTTAAGTGAACACGAGTTAAGGTAAGATTTATATGTATTCTATGCATATTAAACGCCATCATATAATAAGTACTCTTAACTGAATTAAAAATCTGCCTTTTAAAATTCAAACTACAGCACGAATGTACGAACGTAAAAAATCCAGTTGAACACGATCAAAAGCTATCATGAAATCTTTCCTACCACCGGTACTTGAGTTTAGTCATTAAAAATAAAATGAATTAACAAAAGAACCAACTCAGAACTTGGGGCCTGCTCGTTTATGCGGAACAACCGGTTTGACCGTTTATAAATGTAACATTTTCCGGTATAAATCCTGGCGGACCTTCAAATGTTTATGCAGGCCTTGCAAGGCTTTGTCGACGCTCGCCTGAAAGCAGCATCAGATTACTACGATTAAACGAAAACGGCCCTGATCTGCGTGTACGATCAGGTTCCGGACCGGTTCTGTCTTTTATTTAGTTTTTTTCCCCAACGTTTTTTTTCTAATTGCTGAACTGAAGTGCCTGTGCTCCTACCTGGCTTGTCTCATTCAACCAGACCCTTGTTTTCTGCGCAAGCTACGCCGAGATGATAAATTTTTACGCACTGGGTAAAATCGATTTTAAACATATTTTTAATCTACAAAACGATATCTTAGTGTTCGAATTAAGGTAGTATCTATTTCATAGGTAAGAATCAGATGAATTTCACAACCTCAGAAATTAAGAACCTTATTAACTGTGATGTAGCCTGAATGCTAAGATATTTTTTTTTATTGGTAAATGAAACAAGTTATGCAACATTCAAATATGGCTTTAGGTACGAAACGAACCCTATAATCGTACCATTCGGTAGGTACATCTCAAATTGGCGACGGGTTACACATTTCGGACGTTTGCGCCTGTTTGTTAAACATAAAATAATTTATAAAGATTTCATGATCTCGACCTGACACAAGAAACACAACGACGTCACATATTTATACATGTTCCACTCGATCCTTCACACAATTTGATTTGATTATACACGGAACGCTATCGAAACTTGAAACGTTGACGTACTCACGAGTTGCCTCCCGTTTAAGTACCAACACATCTCAATTACTCGTTTCTTTAAAAGCCCCTTCCTGAGTTCATGTATTTTAGCAATTACACGAGAACACAGCTAATTCAGACTTTTAATCACATACATGGAAACTCTGCCGTTTAATTTTCATGAAGAATATTTATTTGTTTACAGTCACCTCTGTCTTTTGACCAACAGTAAAAACATTAACAGGTGAAGAGACCGACCCCGCCATTCCGTCGTGCAGAGACACGACATATTTCTCTTTTTTACTCACACATCACTTTTATCTCAGATAACATCACTACGTTTATATATTTACTTAATGCATTTATTTACATTTATAAAATCACTCTAGCACACAATTTCACGATACACGATTCAATGTTTTTTCAAAATAAATATAAATGTAGCACTTGGGACCCGTCCGACCGAATGGATATAGTTTAACACAAGCATATATATTCTATAAATTCAGTGGATACTATTTTTCTCTGGTTATGTATTTTGTGCTATGTAAATAATTAATGTCAATAATATATGTTTACTCTCTGTGTAATAGTAATCACAATTGATGACCTGGACGGTAGCGCCCTCTGGGGGTGGGTGGGGCGGGAAGATTCGTCTTCATTGTGGAGAAAACACGTGGTCGGGCAGGTGAACATTTACACACTGTACCTTTATATGTTCGACTGGCAAAATCGAACCCTGAACTCTCGAAAACCCATTATTTATTTCCTTGCACAAGAGAGCCCCATGCAAAGTCGGGTCAAGTTCCTTCCATGCGTATTTAAGGAATTGTCGTTTAAATATTAACCCATATGTTACCCCTTTGGCCCGGCCTCATTTCCCCAAATGGATGAAACCCTTTACTTATATAGCCCCATTGGTATATATCTTTAAATTTCCTGGTAGTACATATAAGAAGGAATTGATAGTTTAATATCTTGAAATTTCGACTTAGTCGAAATTACGAGTGGGTATCTGAATTTCAATTCACCAGCATGAAAAAAAGTACTTTGTTACGTATATACGGGACCTTTGCTCGAACAAACGAATTCACATGTTGAAATTGTAGTTAAACTAACCTTGGTTGATTGGTGTGACACAATGGGTGTAATTAGTTTGTCATGAACAAAAACCTCCGTGTCTGCCTTACAATTATAGATATTAGTCGAAAGTCTACCTGGCTTCCTTTTTATCGGGACAGAACCGCTCTGAACGAAGTATGGCTCGGTTACCCGCCATGATCGTTCTGTTGCGGTATGCACCTATCTCTGTCTTAAGAAGACGGTCATCTTTCCTGTTATTATGCGTTTTCTCTCTTCTCATGTTCGGGATTTTGCAAAGTAACCTAAAAACTGACAGTGAGAAATTAACGAGCATTGTTTACACCGGAAATGTTCCCAAAAGGGAAAGACGAGAGCTCGTCAAAGACGAGAGTGATGCGCAATCAACGTTCAAAGATATATCACGTGATAACCTAAAGCGACTAAAACGCCTGGTAATAGTAGAGGACAGGAAAATGTTTACCGGAAGTAAACATTCTAACAGAAGTTCGCTTTCGCCTTCAGATAAACGGTCAAAACTGCAAGATGAGAATTATCTTCAAGACGACAGACGTGAAAATAAATACGAGAATAGTCTGAAAACGGAAAATCACGTGGACAAAAATGGCGACCAGGAAGGAGAGAAATCCCATTACCCCGCCGTCGATATAAACAGTTACAAAGGCAAGCTGGAGAGTTACGACGTAGAGGATGAGTATCGCGCTGATAGGCAAAAGATGGAAGAATTGATGGATGAACCATACAAACTATTGTTGAAACTTACAAACGAAGACAACGACAATGGTTTGGTGAATCAAGCGATGCCACGCGACATGGGCGAGGATGATTGGTTCCCATTTAACCCGTTTCAATATCCTCAAAATATAAACATTGAACAATTAATAAAAACATTTGCCAAAAATGGCGTTCTACCTGGCAACCCAATCAATGAGTGGAAGTACACACCAATTATCAACCCTTCGAGTAAATGTGAAAATAGTAAAAACGGTGTATTTTTGCTGTTCATTGTGAAGACAAAGCCCGAAAATTTTGCGAAAAGACGGACCTTACGTAAAACATGGGCCGACGAGAAAAGATTTCCGAACATACGTACCGTGTTTTCTATCGGAATACCTCGGGATTCTAGTACGATTAAAAAAATAAAGCTAGAATTCTTGAAATACAAGGATGTCCTTTTGATGGATTATATGGACACGTACCATAATTTGACTCTCAAGACAACCAGTGGCATCAACTGGGCGGTGGCACGCTGTGCCGTGGCCGAGTTCGTAGTGTCTGTTGATGACGATATGTATGTGGCCACAGACTTCCTCTTCCAACACCTGAAGGACATGCCACAGGCGGAGGCTGAACGACTGTATCATGGACATCTGTACCATGATACATCACCAGTCCGGCATGGGAAGAAAGACGAGTGGCATAGTAAATGGATTGTGACGAAGGAGGAGTACCCGTTTGATACCTACCCAGATTACATATTCGGGGGATTTATTATCATGTCTATGAGAACTGTACTGGAAATGAGTTTGGCCATTCCCTACACAAAACCGATCAACATGGAGGATGTTTACCTCGGTATAGTGGCCAGTCGACTTGGTATTGTGGCGACCAACACTGATCTCGTCAATTGTTTACTCACATATTCCAATGTAGAGAAGTTCAAAACTCTCATCGCCTCTCATTACTACACAAGTACTCATATGCTGGAGAAGGCGTGGGAGTGCCATTTATCGATAGTAGAAGAGGATGTTGAAAAGTCAGTATTTTGTATTTACATAAAGACAAAACTAGAACAGCTAAAATACAAAGTAGACGAACTACTGAATTGGATAGATCTGTCAGATGACGCTCTTTAGGTGCAGGTTATTACAAACATGTTTGGGAGAATTCCTTTTTTACAACTTTTCTTCATGAGTTTTGTAACATTGATTAAGAACAGGTTAATGCCTTCTTGTGACAATGATCGACGTGTATGAGAGAGCCCTCTAGTGACAATGATCCACGTTTAGGGGAGAGCTCTCTAGTGACATTGATCCACGTTTAGGGGAGAGCTATGTAGTGACAATGGTCGATGCGTAGGAGAGAGCTCTCAAGTGACGTTGATCAACGTTTAGGGGAGAGCTATGTAGTGACAATGATCGATGTGTAGGAGAGAGTTCTGTAGTGACAATGATCGATGTGTAGGAGAGAGCTCTGTAGTGACAATGGTCGATGTGTAGGAGAGAGCGCTGAAGTGACAATGATCGATGTGCAGGAGAGAGCTATGTAGTGACAATGAACGATGTGTAGGAGAGAGCTCTGGAGTGACAATGATCGACGTGTTGGAGAGAGCTCTGTAGTGACGAGAGCTATGTAGTGACAATGAACGATGTGTAGGAGAGAGCTCTTTAGTGACAATGATCTATGTGTAGGAGAGAGCTCTGGAGTGACAATGATCGACGTGTTGGAGAGAGCTCTGTAGTGATGTAGTGACAATGATCGATGTGAAGGAGAGAGCTCTGTAAAGACAATGATCGATGTGTAGGAGAGAGCCCTCTAGTGACAATGATCCACGTTTAGGTGTGAGCTCTCTAGTGACATTGATCCACGTTTAGGGGAGAGCTATGTAGTGACAATGGTCGATGCGTAGGAGAGAGCTCTGTAGTGACAATGATCGATGTGTAGGAGAGAGCTTTGAAGTGACAATGATCGATGTGTAGGAGAGAGCTCTGTAGTGACAATGAACGATGTTTAGGATTGAGCTCTCTGTTGACACTGACTTATGTGTTTGAGATCTCTCTCTATTAACACTGATCGATGTGTAGGAGAGAGCTTTGAAGTGACAATGATCGATGTGTAGGAGAGACCTCTGTAGTGACAATGAACGATGCTTAGGATTGAGCTCTCTGTTGACACTGACTTATGTGGTTGAGATCTCTCTCTATTGACACTGACTTATGTGTTTGAGATCTCTCTCTATTAACACTGATCGACGTGCAGGATAGAGCTTTCAGAAATAACAATTCAATCTTCCATTTATTTTTAATAAATTATCTGATTATTATTTCATTAAATCTCCTATCGTTTTCTTTTTTTCCCACACGCATGGATGATTTTAACTTTTTATGAATATGACGTTTTTATATGACACTATTGTAAAATTTACATTTGTATATCAGTTAAAGATTGTGTATAAATAATGTCTCGATCAGTTTGGTTTGGTTTCATCAGGGTTAACGTTCTATTAACAATTATGATAATTCAAGGATGTGGTTCCATGTGTGTGTATGTGTGTTTGTGCGCTACAGGCGGTATGTTGGGTCATTTGCCTCCTTGCGATAGCGCATATCTAATGCCGACTTTATATTGCTACCTCACTGAAATACATGCCGGGGGCACCACGACGTAGCATTCCGCCCGGTCACATTATACTTGTTGACTAGTTGTTGTGATTACCCTAAATGCTGAACGTTAAGTATCGAAAAATAACTACCTTTTTTAAGAATTTTGGAATGTTCCGGCCTGGGGACAGAACCCATTGTCTTTCTTACCCGGGCAAATATTCAACACCAAGGTCAAAAGTGGGATATTGCCAGGGAGGCAGTATGGAACAAAAAGGTAAGTAGGAAGTAGAGAGAAACTTTAGTTTGTTTATTTTTTGGAGGCACAAAAGCTTTTCCCCAATTCTGTAGGGGGTTCCCACATTTGTTGCCTCTTTCAACACGCACCGGGTAACAGCAGGTATATTCTTTTCTCAATCCCCGACATGGATAGGTGTGTCATTGTCAACTATGTAGGATAGCTTAAGAACTTACAATTACTAGTTTCCTACACTGACTTGATGTTAAAAATAAATGAAAGTGAAAGCAATTACATGAAGTGTTGCGCTTCACCATCCACATGTAATTTTTAAATTAAGGGGTAACAAAGTGTGAGAGTCGACGGTGACAAAACCCGGCAGTGTTCCAACACATTACGCAGACGTCCTGCTCGGGTGAGCAACAGTTTCTATTATACCTCGATGAAAAGTAGTCATATGTCGACAAAAGCATTTACAACGCCTGAGCTGAAACTCAAAAACAGACATGTTATTATTCAATTAAAGTTTTTATTTTGTTTCTTCGGAGCTAAATATAGACTTTAAGTACTGGAGTTCTAAAGTCAGTTGTTTGACTGATATGTGAGATTAAGGATCCCTGTTCCAAAGCCAAAATCTGTAACTATGAGCTGGAAACCTTTTCTCCGATTATAGCTTTGATGAACTATTTCTAAAAAGAAAACTATTCCTTGATAACGTTTATGAAATAATATACAATTATACAACCATAATTACCAGCACAAAAGTAAATAACTTTTTTATTACATGTTTCAAAAATAAAATGTAACGGAGGCTAAGCGTTCGTCAGCAAGCCATCTTCTGTTGTCGTCTGACAGATCGCGTTTCGGTTTTAGTTTAAGTTTTTCCAACTTATTGATTGACTTCTCCCGTAATACAGACAATTTGGGGTCACCTTTGCAAAGAATATCTACGTTTATGTCGCCTTCGTACCATTCTAATTCGGTAATGAGTGTTCTTCGTAAATTACAATACATAGGACAAATAAGGAAAAAAAATATCAATTTTCACAGGGATGCCCACACCCGCACTCAGCTGAACCTATTAGTTCCAGTCTAACTGCGCATGCGCTTAGACAGGGTTGCGGGGAATTTCTATATAGGCTATATTTAAAAATCGATATTCTTTAGGACTGATCACGTGTATAGCATTCGGCACATGTGATTGCGAGAAATTTTCTAGCATGAAATAAATAAAAAGATGACATGAATAAAATCAAATAACAAATAGCGTTCTGAGTTTGAAAGTGCTGCGGGGCAATGTAGGATTCGAACACTGGAACTCCGACCTATAATAAGTTCGCCCTAAACCGACTAAGCTACAGCAGTCAGCAGCAACAGTGGAGAGTTACAGTCCAATCGCGCTACAGATACATATATATATATGTAAAATAGAATAAAGGGGGGAGCAGTTACGTTAACTACAAAAAAACACAGTGAAACTGCCGGTAGTGAGAGATGGATCCTCTGCTGTTCCATTCGTTTCTTCGTTATTTTGTTGCTTCTTTATGTAACGTCTGTCTGATTTCGAGACTATACAGCGAAATAAACCGATAAAATAATGAAATGACGAAAATCGTTATAATAATATAAAGATAAATTAACAAAATTAATGATTCAAAGAAAAACAAAATAATACATAATACGGATATAGAAATAGAGGTTCCCCAACGAGTGATGGTTGGTTATCATGTTTATCTAACTCGGGTTAGTTAACCTTCACATTGTATAAAGACACGGGGCTTGAACCATCGACTTCAGATTGGTATACTGTCACTCGAACTGAGAGAGCTTTCTGGTCAACGGAAGTTTTCTGGCCTAACTTTACTACATTTATATCCAAAACGAGATTAAGGGGAGGTCACTGTATGTATACATGCGATAAACCACAGTGCAGTGGGACATACATCCTTAAAGTTGTATAACATAAATTCCAAATGTACGTCAGAACGTTAAAAGAACCCCAAATTCTCCAATCCATCTAGATTTAATTACCATGTAGACTATCGTGTCAACGAAAAATAAGATATAGATCTAAGCACGGGGACAGTCTCGTGTAGCTATTGTGGGAGGGGAAAACTACAGGTGTTAATTACAGGTAGGCAATAACAATCCAAATTACTTTGTATGACGCACATATCTAATCATTATCACGCAGACGGGTTTGTTCATATATTTAGAAATATATTTTCTTAGCAGTGAGCTTTAAACACAACAAAGTATTAATCACCATAACTATGCGACCACAGTCCTTGCTATGCTTGTTTATATAAACCCGTTTGACACACGATATCCGAACTGGTTCCCACATTATATAACAGTGAATTGTTTGTGGTTTTATAAAAATCTATGAGGAAAACGCGACGCCACGACAGTACAATGAATTTCATTCTTTTGAAATATTACATAATCATCCACAGCGACAAGACATTGATATGTAAAGGAGTTAAAGCTTAGCCATAGAGGGTAAAATGAATTAGGGCTTTTAGGAAGTAAGTATCATAATGGCAATCATGTTGTTATGTCAGGGAGTAAGTACCTCAAATAGAAAATGTCTTGTATTGTCAGGGAATTAGTACTACAATGAAAAGTCATGTTGTTATATTAGGGAGTTAGTACAATAGTGAAAAGCCATGTTGTTATATTAGGGAGTTAGTACTACAGTAAAAAGTCATTTTGTAATGCTAGGGAGTTAGTACACGGTGAAAAGTAGTTTTGTTATATTAAGGAGTTAGTACAACAGTGACAAGTCATGTAATTATATTAGGAAGTTAGTACTATAGTAAAAAGTCCTGTTGTTATGTTAAGGAGTTAGTACCACATTGAAAAGCCATATTGTTATGTTAGGGAGTTAGTACAATAGTGAAAAGCCATGTTGTTATATTAGGGAGTTAGTACTACAGTAAAAAGTCATTTTGTAATGTTAGGGAGTTAGTACACGGTGAAAAGTAGTTTTGTTATATTAAGGAGTTAGTACAACAGTGACAAGTCATGTAATTATATTAGGAAGCTAGTACTACAGTAAAAAGTCCTGTTGTTATGTTAAGGAGTTAGTACCACATTGAAAAGCCATATTGTAATGTTACGGAGTTAGTACTACAGTAAAAAGTCATTCTGTAATGTAAAAGAATTAGTACAACAGTGAAAAGTCATGTTGTTTTAAAGGGAATTAGTACAACAGTGAAAAGTCATGTTGTTATAAAGGGAATTAGTACAGCAGTTAAAAGTCATGTTGTAATGTTATAGAGTTAGTACAACAGTGAAAAGTCATGTTGTAATGTTACGGAATTAGTACTACAGTGAAAAGTCATGTTGTAATGTTACGGAATTAGTACTACAGTGAAAAGTCATGTTGTAATGTTACGGAATTAGTACTACAGTGAAAAGTCATGTTGTAATGTTACGGAATTAGTACTACAGTGAAAAGTCATGTTGTAATGTTACGGAATTAGTACTACAGTGAAAAGTCATGTTGTAATGTTACGGAATTAGTACTACAGTGAAAAGTCATGTTGTAATGTTACGGAATTAGTACTACAGTGAAAAGTCATGTTGTAATGTTACGGAATTAGTACTACAGTGAAAAGTCATGTTGTAATGTTACGGAATTAGTACTACAGTGAAAAGTCATGTTGTAATGTTACGGAATTAGTACTACAGTGAAAAGTCATTCTGTAATGTAAAGGAATTAGTACAACAGTGAAAAGTCATGTTGTTATAAAGGGAATTAGTACAACAGTGAA